GTCTTTTATGAATGGAATCAACGAAATTCAGCAACGGTGACAGTGAATGTGCGTGCGCGTGTGTTGGGTGTGCATCATGGACTGAGCCACCAACATGGATGGATGAACGCACCACCAACATGGAAAGCGGGCAGTGAAACGATAACCCCCCTCCCTCCCTCCCTCTCGTGGAAAGAAAGTAACGGCAGCGGGAATACGGCAGAGGGGGGAGAGAAAGCGGGAGAAAACAGCAGAAGAAGAAGAAGAAGAAGAACAACAACAACAACAACAACAACAAGAATGGGAAGGAAGGCGCGCACTGTGTTGTGACGTGAATTAGGTGATGATGGGGTTGTTGAACTGGTAGTCGTCATGCTTTGGCGCCTTGATGGCCCGACGCAGCTGCAACATCGCACACACACACACGTGCATATGTAAGAATACATGTGTGTGTATGTGTATGTGTGCGTGTGCGTGTGTGATGTGTGTGTTGTCATGGGGTGAGGAAGAGCGAACTGCGGGAAAATGCGCTGTCGCCAACACAACAAACAAACAAAACAACGCCATGCGCGCAAGTGAACATGTGCACATGTAATTGTCCAACACGCCTTCCACCCCATCCCACGCTCCTGCTGCATTCCCCCCCCCCCCCTCTCTCTCTTCATGCGAAGACGTACGCGGAGGACAAGGACGATGGTGAGGGCGAACCAGAGCGGGGTAGCAATCCAGGTGCCAAAGCCGCTGATGAGGATGTATCGAGACGCACTGCGGTTGTCCTGCTCAAGGTTGTTCACGCACTCGTTCAGCGACTGCTTGCCGCACAGCTGCAAAGGGGATGGGCGCATCAAGTGTGGAAGAGTCGTCAATACGGGAGACGGTGGTGGTGGGGCACGAGGTCGGCATGAATGACGAATGGGGCGATCGTGTGTGCCTTTCAATCCCGCTTGCAAACACAAACACAAACACAAACACACACACACACATATACACACATGCACACACACACACACATGCACACAAACACACACACATGCACACACACACACACACCTTGGAGAGGTTTGAGGTGAGAATGCCGGTGACAGCAAGCATGATGACAAAGGCGGAGACGGCGATGGACAGCTCAAAGCCAACAAACTTGGACCGGCTGTTGCGTGGGCGTGTTGGAACGACGGTGCGAGGAGAGGGGAAAGTGGGTGAGGGTATCAAGAATGGTTGCACATCTGTATTCACGTTAAGTAATCGAGCATGTTTGCATGGGTGCAGCAGCAACAACGTCGAGGTCGTACGCGCCCATACCCAAAGCTGGAGCGGCAGATGTTGATGGCACTGGTGATAATAATGGATGACGGGGGCGGTGTGTGAGTGAAGCAAGTGGTAAAGGAAGCAGAACGGGCCATGCACCAGACACACAGACACACGGGGCAGAGGCTTAAGCCTCGCACGCATATCCTCGCACACACACACACACGCACGCACACACACACACACGCACGCACGCACACGCACGCACGCACGCACGCACGCACACGCACACACGCACACACGCACACACGCACACACGCACACACGCACACACACGCACACACACACGCGCGCGCGCTCACGTGATTGCGAGGAAGAGAAAGGCGATGACGCAGAGGCCAACGTGGGAATAGAGGATAAAGTCGCAGTTGCCAGACTGGTCCGGGTGCTTCTGGTTGTACACACAGCCGCCGTTGTATTTCCTGAAGGCATTCGGTAAACGTGAGTGGGGGGTGGATGACACGCGCGGTGATGTTGATGCTCCCGGTGGTCATGGCAGTGGAGTTGATGAGAGAAGATCAACAAGGTCACACATGGGCGACTCACTTGTTCAGGGAAGCCATGCCGGCGGCACCAACAGCTCCTGATACGCACGCGATGTGAACCACATTGTTATGCACGCATTGGTGGTCGTGCGTGACAGGGAGCAGGACGAAGAGGGTGAGAGTTGGAGAGCGAGCTCGAGCACGTGTGTCAGCCACGCGTATGCAATACAAAGTGACACACGGACACACAAGCAAAGGCAAACGCAAAAGCAAAAGCACATACACACATACACACACATAAACACATGCACATACACATGCACATACACACATGCCCATACACATGCACACATGCACACATACACACATACACATGCACACCTGCGACGCCCAAGCAGAGGTAGAGGAGGCCGCGCAGGAAGAAGGAGAAGACGGAGCAGCAATCGCGGCCATCAGCGTAGATGCCGCGGTTGCCGGACGGCGACGTCGCAGAGTAAGTTGTAGATGACGACGACGACGACGACAACCCGTGGGTCCCCCGCCCAGAGTGCACCTCCTCGTCAAACATCGCGCACGTGTGTGCTGTGTCTGTCTGTGTGCTGGTCTCAGTGCAGTCCTGCTCTGCTGTGTGTGTTGCTTTGCTCTGTATCTTGTGCGCGCGCTTTGTGCTTTCCGTCTCTTCTTCCAAATCAACAACCAATTATCGGACGCTGCACAACAGCGCACGTCAACAAAAGAGATGGTGTGGGAGAGCAGTGGCCTGCCGCACGCGCTGCGGGCATCCGTTGGGGACCTTGGTGGCAAGGAGGGTGCCGCTGCGGTGCTGCGAGAGTGGAGCAGGTCTGTGCAGAATGACGCCAGCGTGTGGGTCGAGCGCCTGGTCGCGGCACAGGCGCCAGCGAGCGGGGACGGCAACGGTGACACCGCCGGTGCTGCCGCTGGTGGGGTTGACTGGGTGGACCCCATCTCCGGGTGTAGCGCCGTGCACTTTGCCGCCAAGAGCGGGTGTGATGGCGTGGGTGATGACGACGCAGCTGCGGTCATCATGTCAGACCTCATTCGCAAGGGTGCAGACACAAACAAGGCCTGCGCATACGCACACATGACCCCGCTGCACTACGCTGCCTACTTTGGCTGCACCGCTGTCCTGGCCATCCTCCTGCGAAGCAGATCAGCCACGGGGCAGGTGTGTTTGTGTGTCTGTGTGTGTCTGTCTGTCTGTCTGTGTGTCTGTGTCTGTGTGTCTGTGTCTGTCTGTCTGCCTGTGTGTGTCTGTGTGTTCGTGTGTGTGTCTGTGTGTGTCTGTCTGTCTGTCTTTCTGTCTGCCTGTCTGTGTGTTCGTGTGTGTGTCTGTGTGTTCGTGTGTTCGTGTGTCTGTCTGTCTGTGTGTGTGTGTGTCTGTCTGTGTGTTTGTCTGTCCATGTCCACCTGTCTCTTGCTGCCTGTGATACACTCGAGACTCACCGTCACAACGACAAACACCAATACACCAACAAGGTGGACGTGAACAAGGTGTGCGACACAAGACGCAACAGCACCGCCCTACACTTTGCTGTCATGGGCGGTAACGTCGGCTGCGTGCAGGTATGTCTGTCTGTCTGTCTGTCTGTCTGTCTGTTTGTTGGTGGCACAACTTGTGCGTGTCGTGCGGATGCATGCACTGTGTTTTGGTCGCCGCCGCCCGTTCGCACCCCGGTCACTCATACACACCCTCTCACCATGCCAATGCATCCCCCAGACACTCGTTGAGGCCAATGCAAACACGGAGCTGAAGGATGACGATGACCGCAAGCCCATCGACGTTGCCCGCCAACTTCTCGCTGCACCCGGCGAGTTTGACGACACGGATGCCCTCAAGGAGATTGTCACCATATTGGAGGTGTGGTTGCGCGTGTGTGTGTCCGTGTGTCTGTGTGTCTGTGTCTGTGTCTGTGTGTGTGTGGGTGTGTGTGGGTGTGGGTGTGGGTACCTGTACGTGTGTGTGGGTGTGGGTACCTGTACGTGTGTGTGTCTGTGTGTATCTGTGCTCATCTCCCTCTTTGCGTAGATTCGCCTGCGCCAGTTTGTGGTTCTCCGCCCCTCACCTCTCACACCATCCCAAACCGCCCGCCCCTCCGCCCCACCCACCTGCTCTGTGTGTCGTGAGCAGAAGGAAGGTGCACGGTTTGTCAACTACACGGGCCCGCGCAAACTGCCTGCACCTGCCACACCGCCGCCACTCGACTCCCCGGCACACATCCTCCCGCACCACCTCGGCCGGCCCCTCCACGACGGTGCGATGGCGGGCCTCTATGTGTGTGTGTGTGTGTCTGTGTATCTGTGTGTCTATGTGTATGTCTGTCTGTCTGTCTGTCTGTCTGTCTGTCTGTCTGTCTGTCTGTGTTTGTTTCTGTGCGTGCACTCGTGTGTCGTTTTGTGCCTGCACTCACTCTACCGTCTCCCCCCCCCCTCAACTTCTTTGCAACCATCACAGAGGTGTCTGACACGAGCTCTGTCATGGGGAGTCAGATTGGTGACGAACCAATCAATGTCAGTACTGAGCAAAATCCACGTGTATGTGTGTGTCTGTGTGTCTGTGTGTCTGTGTGTCTGTGTGTGTGTGTGTGTGTGTGTGTGTGTGTGTGCGTGTGTGTGCATGCAACTGTGTGTGTCCCTTTGCAACGCAGAAAGTCTCTCTTCACCTCCCCTCCCCCCCCCCTTACACACACACACCACCGTCACCATCCTCTTGTCCGTCCGCCCTGACGCCCCACATCAGGTTGGCGACCGCGTGTATGTGCACAACAAAGGCGCGGGCCTGGTGCGCTTCAAAGACAAGACCAAGTTCCGGCCGGGGGTGTGGTATGGTGTGCAGCTTGATGAGCCCGTTGGCAAGAACAACGGCACCGTGGGATATGTCACATACTTCCGCACAAAACCAAAGCACGGTCTGTTGGGGGGGGGCAGAGGATGAGGAGTGTGATGGGAACAAGAGGGGGGCGTGTGTGAGTCCGGCTCGGCCCTCTTTCCTCTGTGTGGGGTGCCGCGAACGTGCACGGCGCACATCTCCCTCTGTGGTTTTTTGTC